AAAATCAGTAGTAATGTTCCCTCTTCATTCCTGATTTTAGTGTTATATGTCTTCTCTCTTTCATTCTTGGTCAGTCTATCCAAAAGTTTGTCTGTTTTTATCTTTTCAAAAAAACAACTCTGGGTTTCATTGATTTTTCTCTATTGTTTCTCCATTCTTTATATAATTAGATTAGGTTATTGATTTGAGATCTTCTTTTTTAACATAGGTGGTTACAGCTATAATTTTTCCTCTAAGCACTGCTACAGCTGCATCCCATGTTTTGATGTGTTGTATTTTTATTTTTATTTACTTCAAAGTTTTTTCTTATTTTCCTTTTGTGTTTTTTGCTTGATCAGTTATTTAGAAGTATGTTAATTTCCACATATTTTTGAAGTCCCCAAATTTCTTTCTGCTTTCAAATCCTGATTTCATTCCATTGTGGTGAGTGAACATACTCTGTGTGATTTCAGTCCTTGTAAATGTATTAAGGTTGTTTTATGACCTCACATTTGGTCCCTGCTGGAGAATGTTTCATGTATATTTGAGAAGAATGAGTATTTTGCTGTTGTTGGGTGGAAAGTTCTATAGACAGCTATTAGGTCTAGTTGGTGTACAATGCTATTCAGGTCTTCTGAGTCCTTGCTGATCTTCTGTCTAGTTGTTTTGTTCATTATCGAAAGTGTGGCATCAGTATTTCAAACTATTATGATTGTTGAATTGCCTATTTCTTTTTTTAGTTCTTTCAGTTTTGGCTTCATGTGTTTAGGGGGCTCTGTTGTTGTCTTCCTAATGGATTGATTCTTTTGTCATCATAAAATGCTATTATTTGTCTCTAGTAACAAGTTTTATCTTAAAGTCTATTTGGCATGATATTAGTATAGCCATTCCAGCTATCTTTTGACAGTATTCTCATTGCTTTTATGAAGGAGTTGATTTTCAAAGGCTTTGAGCTAACCATTCTGGAAAGTGGAATCTCTGACTACTTCTTAACCACCCTTACAGTTGATTTTTCTGTTTTTAGGCCTGCTTTCTTCCCTACTTACAAAGTTGTCTCTTGGAGATGCAACGTATTAGGCGGTTTTGTGGCTTCCCCTCCTGCTTATGCTCAGTTTTCTTGGGTCTGCTTTGTTATTTCCAGAGGTCCTTTTGCTTCCTACCTTCCAAAATTTTGTAACTGTAAACTCCTTCTCTGTTTTTTTTTTTTTTTTTGTCCTTTATCACTTAAAAAATGTCTTTATTCTTGGGGCGCCTGGGTGGCTCTGTTGGTTAAACATCTGCCTTCAGCTCAGATCATGATCTCAGGGTCCTGGGATTGAGCCCCGCATGGCTCAGCTCTGCCCCTGCTCAGTGGGGAGTCTGCTTCTCCCTCTCCCTTTGCCCCTCCCCCACTGGTTTCTTTCTCTTTATCAAATAAACAAATAAAATCATTTTTAAACAAATGTTTTTCGGGTGTCTGGATGGCTCAGTTATTGAGTGTCTGCCTTCGGCCCAGATCATGATCCCAGGATCCTGGGATCAAGCCCCAAATTGGGCTCCCTGCTCAAAAGGAAGCCTGCTTCTCCCTCTCCCCCTCCCCCTGCATGTGTTCCCTCTCTTGCTATGTCTCTCTCTCTCTGTCAAATAAATAAATAAAATCTTTAAAAAATAATGAAATTAAAAAAATGTTTTTATATCAGTGGGTTTTCTGAGGCAACACAGTTCAGTGAGTAATTTAAATATTTAACCTGTATTTGAGGGTAGCTTTTGCTGTTAGCTGCTTTATTCTAAGTCACTTGAATTTTCTTGTGTAATCAGCATTTTTTTTTAATAGTAAGAGGGCATTTTTACCATCAAGAATCCAGATACCTGGCAATATTCTTTTTTTATATATATTTTATTTATTTATTTGACAGAGAGTGAGATCATAAGTAGGCAGAGAGGCAGGCAGAGAGAGAGGAAGGGAAGCAGGCTCCCCGATGAGCAGAGAGCCCGATGTGGGGCTCGATCCCAGGACCCTGAGATCATGACCTGAGCCGAAGGCAGAGGCTTAACCCTCTGAGCCACCCAGGCGCCCCAGCCTGGCAATATTCTAAATGTAGCTACAGATAGTGCTTATATTACCTTAGAAATTTAGGTGTAGAATTTGAACATCTTGGATTCAAAATAAGAATAGTCAGCAACTTCCAGGCCTTCTCACTGCTTGATTTTCCTTCGAGCGGTGGCTCCCAAACTTGACTGCCCCAGAAGGGCCCTGAAGGCTTGTTTAAATAGCTTGCCACAGGTTCTGCTGAAAGAGTTGGAGGTGAGGCCCCAGAAATTGCATTTTCAACAAGTTCCCAGGTGGTGCTATGCTTCCGGTCCTGGGACATGCTGCAAGTCACCCGCTCAGTGTGTGGAATAGAAAGGTGTTCCCTTTGGGGTTGGGGAGGACATTTGGGAAGCAGATGAGAGCAGAAAGGGACAGCAATAAGAGAATCTGGGAGAGAAGGAGGTGCCCACATTGCTTGCGGCCCATTGCTCCCCGCTCTTGGACACTCTTCTAATTTTCCTCTGTCTGCACTGAAAAAACCATGGCAAAATCTGCTTAGAGAAGAAGCTCTTGGCCTGAGAATTTTAGTTGTATTCATGGGGGAAAAAAGGAACGAAGTTATTATCTATGGAAAACTTTAATCCGAGGCCCTGCAAATATATTTTTCTGTGGAATTTTAAAGTGGCTGGGGAGTGTATGCAGGGCCAAGAGAAGTCGGTCCTTACGCGCTTTCATGAGAGGCACCAGGTTGAGTATTGCTAAGGGATCAGGATTCTAGGCAGTTGTGTTAGGCAGTCCCTTGTCCGGAGGCTTTATTTCTTTGCTAGAGCCCCCTTTTTCCTTCTTGCGAGTCTGAGAAGGCAGGGACGCTGTCTAAGCCACATAGGCAGAGGCTCAGACCTAGTGGCTGGTTTGGACCACAGGTAGGAGGAGCCCAGCCTCAAGGCCAGACTCAAGGCTGTTTTCGGGCAGCTGGTCAGAAACTCAGCCATCATCGTCTCACACTCAGACATGGTTTTTTTTTGTTGTTCTCGGAAGGTTCTTCTGCTATACATCGCGAATATTGAGAAATAAAATTGTGGCTGCGAAAGATAGTATCCCAAAAGCTAGAGGTAGTTGGGAGGAAGCCAAGAGAAGTGAGAACTCCAAACCCTTACCCCGTGTGAGGCTGCCTTTCAGACGCTTTTATTACTTAAAAGACAATGCCCTTGGATCAGTCCTGCTGTCACCTCAGAAAGTGAGAGCTGGGAAAGAGGAAGCCAGGTCAGGGTAGATAGATGACCTGAGAAAGCAAGCTTTGGAAACTAGTTTACCCCTTCCTTGTCACCTCCTTTCTTAGGCCTGCTGCGATGTTGTGTTTTTAATCTACGTAAAAATGGCTTGGTTTTAGGTAACTCCTAAAGGTGCTTCCGTCCTTGGTATTCTTTGATTTTGTCAAGATCACCTTTTTTTATCTTTTGGGCTGCCAGAGTATGAAACCCTGACCTGACTTCTAAGATAGACTTCGGAGTACATAGAAGATTCAGTGTTCCCTAAACCTTGTGATCCCAGAGGCTCCATGTTATTTCCTGTTAGCCGTTTTCAGTGGCTTTGGAGTGAAGTTCATTGCTATGACAGGCAGCCACTCTGGGGAAAATATGATGTATTGTGTTGTGTAGGAAAAAGTCAGTGTTATCCAATCCAGTAATCAGATTTTCAGACAAAGGCATGACCCTGGAACATGCTGTCTAATGGCTGAACATAGCATTCATCTTGTCTCCAAAAACAGTTAAAAAAAAAATCAGTGTGTATTTGGCTTGGGGTCTGTTTTGGAAATATATCTTGCCTGATAAATTTTCTCATTCTTATTTTGGAGGCAGCTAAATTGCTCTGAATGTACTGGTTGTAGCAGTAATTAATTTAGCATTTATTAAGTACTGACTGTGTGCCAGGCTTTGTGTGAAAGACTCTGTAGGGGAATATATCTGGTCAGGGGAGAGGACAGAAAGGCAAAAGAAAAAAAAATGGCTGGGGTGCCTGGGTGGCTCGGTCGGCGAGGCGACTGCCTTTGGCTCAGGTCATGATCCCAGGGTCCTGGGATCCAGCCTTGCTTCAGGCTTCTTACTCAGCGGGGAGTCTTCCACCTGAGGTGATGGGGAGACCACTTAAGTATCTAAGAATGGAAGAATTATTACAGGAAAGTCTGTGTAACAGAGTATAAAAGTGTTAGAACAGCATAGATGTTCAATTAAAAATTAAATTAAAAAAAATAAAAAAAATTGTGTGCACACTGTGATCTCTGGGAAGTGAGATATAATTACGACTGTGTTAAAGCATGGGAGGATTTCTAAAAGTAGAGTCCATTATTTGCATTGTGAGATTCCTTAAGAATCCCTTTGAATCTCTACTATAGGCCAGTAGATCAAGACCCAGTCCCTTCCCTCAATCATCAAATGTGGGGAGATGTCGTAACTCCAGCACAGTTTAAAATAGTGTGTGATTATGGGGCGCCTGTGTGGCTCAGTCAGTGAAGCATCTGCCTTCGGCTCCAGTCATGATCCCAGAGACCCGGGGTCAAGTCCCAGGTCAGGCTCCCTACTCAGCAGGGAGCCTGCTTCTCCCCCTCCCTCTGCCCCTCCCTCTCCCTCTGCCCCTCCCCTCCTCCTGCTCTCTCTCTCAAATAAATAAACAAAATCTTAAAAAAAGAAAAGTGTGTGATTATGAAACGCCCAGAATAGGCAAATCGAGAGAAAGAAAATAGACTGGTGGTCTAAGTCGGGGGGTGGGGAGGGAGGGGGGCAGTGACTGCAAACAGGTCCAGGGGTTCTTTTTTGGGTGACAGAAATGTTCTGGAATTAGTTAGTGGTGGTGGTTGCACAACATTGGGAATATACTAAAAACCACTGAATTGTACACTTTGGTTAAAATGGTTACTTTTATGTTATGTGAATTTTATCTCAGTAAGGAATACCGGAAGCAAAAAGGTACTTTTCTTTCTTTCTTTCTTTCTTTCTTTTTTTTTTTTTGGTAGTAAAGGGCAACCGGAAGTGTGAGTTGAACTGCCAGGCAATGGGCTACCGCTTCTACGTCCGCCAAGCTGAGAAGGTCATTGATGGTACCCCCTGTGACCAGAATGGCACGGCTATCTGCGTGTCTGGGCAGTGCAAGGTAAGTGCCCAGGACTGGATGTCTGTAGCATGTTCTCCCGGAACTCAATCTGGAACTGCCAACTCCATCGCGTGTCGCCAGGCCGTGGCCTGTTCCTACCCCACAGCCCGCGGCGCACCAAACCACAAGCTCTGGGACAAGTGGGCTAACCTAGGGCGGCTCTGTCATCTCTGTGATTTTGATCTCAGGACGTCTTCCAAGGTTCAGTCTGGCATTTCAAGTATTAAATGATTTATGTTTCCATCACGTGCATCAAAGGGGACTCCGCTGTCCTTCCTTACCTCTGGAGTGGAGATTATGAAGGAGGCAGGGCTGGATCTGTGAAGAAACTGCTGGCATCACGAGGGCGAAGGTGGCATTTTCAGGGCAATGTGTATTTAATCTTGCCTCACAGCTGATGGGGCAGGCTTCCAAATGAAAGGGGTTTAGTGCCTTTTAGAGCAGATTTGTACCTTAAACAGGCAGAGTTTTTCCGGCCTCTTCGGACTTACGAAGTCTGTTCCAGTAACTCCCTGTCCCCCACTCTGCAAACACTTGTGGCTTAAGAGCATCCTTGTGGGGTGCTTACTTGTGCCAAAAAGAACCGTGTGGTTAGCAATAGGCACCTTCGACGAGATGGCACGGATTCCATGACCACGTTAATTGGGCCTGGACTGCCACCCTTCTTGCACCTATAAATGTATGAGTGGAGCTAAGACCCCAGTAGGTACATGACTCTTTGGGGCCCAGACTAAAACCCCATCTTAATTAACACCCTGTAGCTGGTAGGCTTGATTTTCACAAAGGATGAACTCTTTGGTTATCACATCTGAAATTTCCTGTTATCCCTCCTATCCATCTTCTTGTTTAGTTGAAGAGCTACTGACGTGTGGTTTTATCAGCACAGTCTTCCCCTACCAGACTTTTTTTTTTAAAGAGGAGGTTTCAAATAAGGTGCAAAATGACTTATTTGAGCAGAACAAATGTTTGCAGATTTTCAATCTAAGTGAAGAAAGGAGCCCCTGTTATTGGCTATCTGGTGGGTGGGAGGGGTCTTTGGAAGAGCAAAACCCCAGCAGAGGTGGGGGATGGCCTGGAAGAGCCAGGGGAGCCTGATGGGAAGTACAGTAGGGGCTCAGACCTGTCCGGCCCCATTTTCCACCCCATCAGGAGAATCATGGAATTCCAGATGTCCTCTCCATGCCTCGCTGACCTCAAATCATACCTAAGAGGGTTCTGTTAGAGGTTTTGATCTCCAGCTGATGTGGTCTCTGTTTCTAAATGTGACTGAGCCTGAAATGGTGGGCCTTATAGCAACCTAGCTTTTTGTTCCAGGCCCTGAATCAGAGCTATTTCATTTCCTGAATACAGGTGCACAGCGACAGGAAGGGATGGAGTATATTGGTTAAAAACATGCCCTCAGAAGTCGACCGCCTGGATTCAAATTCTGCCTCTTCCACTGTGTGATTGACTGTGGGATCTCATGCAGGTTACAAAACCGCTCTGTGCCTCTAACACAGGAGAAGGGCAGTGTCTTCCTCCTGGTCTGTCATTTAGTAAGCATACTGGCATTTCTTAGTATGAATACATTGTTTATGTCCACATATGTCCTGTCCTCTTTGAATTTCCTATGCAAAAGCATCTTCTTTGTTCATTTGTTTGTTGTTAGATTACGGGTTGGTGAGACATTGTCTTTCCTGAGAACACTGTAGGGTGAAATGCGGGGGATTGCAGATGCGAATTTGCTGGGTCTGGGGAAGGTCCTGAGAGTCTGCTTCCCAGTGAGCTCCCAAGTTATGCTGATGCCGCGGGTCCTCAAGTAGCAAAGTTCTAAAGGACACTTTGATGAAAATACAGTTAACCAAGACTCAGAAATGTACATGTAGAGTGGTGTCATGACTTGGAAGGAAGGTGAAACCTGGGCTCTTTCCACTGAAAGAGTGTGTTTTCCTAGTGTTGCATTAAGTGTCTGTGACCTGATGATACAAAAGAAAAACAAAGACTTATATGCACGTGGCTACAGATTCTTACTGACTGTTGAAAACCATTCAGACTATAGGGTGGCACAGTTTGCAGATGGTAATTGCTAAAAGATTGGGACAAACATTGCCCAGGATGTGAGTAGATTAATAGGAATTTGACGTTACAAGGGCCCCTTTGATATTACTATGTACTTGTTCTCTGTGCACTTTCCTGAAATTTCCCTCCCTGAAGTTGTTGGAATCACTGATGATCCTGTCCTCTTTTGAACTTGAGTTTAGAATCATCACAAGTACATTTGCTTCCCAGGCCCGAGTTCTGTTTACTTTGCGACTTTCAAAGGGTACAGTGTCCTTTTCTGAATATTTGATTGGAAGCCCAGAATTCGAATTGATGTTGCTACCTTGCTGACTTGTGGCTGAGCGAGCTATCACTCGTGGACATCTGAAATGGCTCCAGAAAGCCTCTCCTGGCCACGTACAGTTGAAATGCAAACCCAGGTCTACAACAAGTTAGCGAAAAGCGACGAGCATCCAATAAGAATTCGAGCTAAACCTGCAAGAGAGGAGCTAAGAGAGAAGGGGGTCGTCCCCCTTGACACCAAGCCAAAGAAAGGTCCTAAGCCCACCCCCTGCAAACTGGAATGCTCTGTTCCTGGGCTAGCAGAGCAACCTGTGGGCAGCCTGTGTTTACCCTGTTGCTGGAACTCTTCTGTGCTTTAGATCCTAGAGTTGGAAGAGGGGCAGGAAGAATGCAGACATCCTAGGACTGGCTTGGTGAGAGGCTGAGGCCAGAGAAAATGGGGGTCCCTCTGCTGTCCTTCAGTGATGGGTTAGATTTTCTTTTCTTGGCAGGGACTGAAGGGTCCCAAAAGTTGTCTTGAATCTCAGGACTGCATATAGATAGGCTTTGAGGGGAAAGGACTGCATTTTCCTCAAGCAAGAGAATGTATCTGGAACCCTCAGAGACCCTCCCTTCCTCAACTCGACCCCTTCCCTGTAAACATCAACTAGGAATGTCTGGTCTGTGTTCAGAGAAGTTCTGAGACACTTCTAGCCCTGCCCAATCATTATTGTCATTTTGGGAACGAAATACCGTTTATATCTCGTTAACAGAGAGCAGAGGAATAATGTCTATCATTGAGCATCACATTAACTCTGCTGTGACTTTTTTTTTTTTTGCTTGATCTCAGCTCTGTCTGAATAACTGAATTATAATAGTTTGATGACACAGGTATTACTTTTGCTTACCACTTAATAAACCTAGATGAAAGTTTCTCTTCGGTGGGATAGCAGGCATTTGAAAGAGCGGGGTCACTTGGGTAAAGGACGAGAAAGAGAAAAACACTCAACTGCCTGGAGACCAGCCTCACAGAAGCCTCAGACTTCTAGACTTGAATGATCCTGAGAGTGAGAACCACCCCCAAGACCTGCTTTCTTCCCCCCACGAAGAGTCTTTGGTGGGAAACGAACAGGCCTTGAGGAAATGCCTTGCAATAAAAAACAGACGGATGGGAAACCTCAGAGAAGCAAGGTGTCAGAGCTGATGTGGCCAGCAGGGAGTCTTTTCTGAGAAAACCGTGTTCCAGACACCGTGCTCTGTGCTTTACCTATGAAATGATATCGTTAATCCAGACACGCAAAGGTCTACACAGAGGTTGACTATTAACATTGGTTTTTTAGGCTGAACTGTTCATCGGAATAGAAAGAACAGTTTATAGGTGACGGGAAGAAACCCATGTGCTTTATTTAGGTCTCTCTCCTCTTCGGAGTTCATAGTCCTCACTGTCTCTTTCCAAAACAGGCCGCCTTTCCAAATGTGTATTAGGACATGTCTCTCCTTTGCTTAAACTGTACCTGTGACTCCTCCTCCCCTGGGGAATAAAGTCCAGACACTTCAACATCTGTCTCCTGCCTGGCCTCCCTGCGCTCCCTCCCTGCTGTCCCTGCTGTCTCTGAGCCAGCAGGCCTGCAGGGTTCTCTGCATCCATGAGAATGTACACGCTGTTCCCTCAGCCTCAAGTGCTGCTCTGTGTCCATCCTTGGTCCACTTGCTGGGCTCTGCTCAAGAGCGACCGGCTGACTCCCTGGAGCACTGTGTGGTCCCGCTTCTCGGGACTGTTTGTCCCCGCTGCCCCCACCTACCACCCAGCGAGCTGGGAGCTTTTCCAGGCACTTTGTTTTAGCAGAATGCCCGCGATGGAATAGGTGCTTAAAATAAATGTGTAAATAGCTGAACTGAAGCCTTGGTGACTCAGGCTGTTGGATTTCAGCAAATGAAGTTAGTCTTGAGAGCAGCACAGAGCTTTCTCATTTTTGGCTGGGATGGGCAATCGGGTGCAGATAAAACAGGGACACGAAGCCCCCTTGGCCACATCCCCAGAACCCCAGGCCTCAGAGGTCGGGGAAAATTCTTGGCATCTGCAAGCTCTTAATCCCCCGTCTTGCTCTATTTCGCTCACTCTGAATTTCTGAAGTCCCTTCAGAGCTGAGGCAGGAGGAACATACCAAGTGTGAGAGTGCATATTCCGGTGGGGCCTTCAGTGGGGGGAGAAGAGGCCCTTCTGCCCTTGAACTTCTGCCCCTCATCCCAGGTCGGTCTTGACCTTCCCGTGGGGCTATGCCTGCGGCGCCCCGTCGGTCCGCACTCAGCGGGGGCCTTCGCGCCTCCTTTCCCAGCTTGCCTTCAATCTGGACACGTCCACAGACACTTCCAGATTGATTCAGTAAATTAAAGCAAGGTAACTGCTTCCAAATGTTCAGAGATAAGGTGCGCACCGGCAGGCGGCCCTGGCGGGGAAGGATGACGTCAGGGGTGTGCGCGCCTGTGGGAGTGTGCGGGCTAGTGTCCGCCCGAGTTCCCGTCATCCTCCTGGGTAAACCCACCGCTGCGCTTGCCCGAGCCACGTGGGCGGACTCTGCTCGCTGGTCTGCCTGTTTGCCCTACGTTGCTTCCTTTTTCTCCCCTTTTGGTTACTGGCTTTATTTTGTGGACTTTGCGTAGAGTTCTGTGGCCACTTGAGTCAAACCAAGAGAATAACCATATTGGGTATAATGTTCTCCCTTTTGACAGACACTTGCATGATTTGGCCTTGAAATAGGGTGCAGGGCTCTCCCTTTGCTTGAATTCTGAGCGTAGGTGACGCTCTGTGGACTCCCTCTCGTATCCCCACCCCCAGCAAACTGTGTTCTAAAAGGACTGTCTGCTTGTGACTATTAAACTCCTTATCATATTATGTTAATATTTGACACGTGTTTACGTGTTTGAACTCCTGTAGGAGAGAGAATGTGGTGTGTGTCTGTATCCTTGATGCTTAATGAATGTGTGAAGATTATTTGGTAAATATTCTTAAAATGTATGAAAGAATGAGTAAAACAACAAATTAGAAACTGTGTACTTCCTTTCCTGCAAATAATCAAGAATAGGATTAAAGAAACATTGGAATGTTAGATCCCAGGCCCTGTTCTCAGACCCTCTTGACATTTAAACCGATACCTAAAATAAAGCTGATAACATCTGCCTTTTTTATATGTACCTCTTTCCCGTTATCTATCATTTTACTCACTTCCAATCACTGGGACCACTACTAACGTAAAAACTCTGGTTAGATTTCTTAATTAATGCATATTTATGAATTAAGTATTAACAGCCCAAGCAGTATTATAGGATCATTCATTAATTCAACAAATAGTCTTAACTGGTCATTGCTGGACAGTGTTGTAGGTGTGGGGGATGAAGTGGAAAAGATGAACACGGTCCTACGACATTGAGCTTAAAATCCAATGCAAAAAGTAATAGAGAGAAAAGGTTGGTTAAGAGGCAAAAGAATTCTGAATTTTGACAAGCATCATGAAATTAATGGGGGAGCCGGGCTGGTGAACTGGTGAGGAGGCATACCTCAGATGGACTGTAGGGGAGGGTAGGGGTCGAGGTGCTACTGACCCTGTAGGTCCCCAGGGATGGGAGAAAATTCAAGCTAAGTCTCCAGCCCAGGACCCAGTACCTGAGCACTGCTCCAGAGCCGATGGATATGGAGATGACCCCTTTGTGCCTTCTCTCTGCTCCCTGCCCTTGGGTTAATCTAGTCTCCCCTTGATGGTGCCAGACTTGGTTCCTCCAAGGTGCCCACACATCTTCCTGAACCCATGCTGGCTTTAGCAATAGAAGGGCCTCCATGGAGTCATTCTAAGAGCCCAGAAAGACTCTCCTGGAAACTGGATGATATTAAGAGCAAGTTTTGGGGTCAGTCAGGATCTCCAATATGAAAGCAGTTAAAAGAGGGGCTTCCCAGGTAAATTGGGGTATGGTGTCCAGAGCTTCAACCTACCCTTCTTGGTGGTCCTCCTATAGCAGAGAGAGAAATTTAGGGTGCCTTCCCCCTAGCTTTCTGAAGGAATGGGCAGCATCCTCCCAAGGGACCTTAAAGAAGCATTCTATCTTAATAGGCAGGGGTGGTGACTGACACTTGTAACTGAGAAATCAGAGGA